GGCACAGTCTCTTAATTCTTCTCCTTTTCCTGCTTTTACCAGTGTGGTTTTGTAGTGACTGAGTCTCCTCATACCTCTTCAAAAACTTAGAAATGCTACCTTTGGTTAAGTTTCCATCAATTTTTCTTCTAATTTCTTTATAACTGTAGCCTTGTTCACTTAATAATACTATATTACATTGCTTTCTGGGCAACCAGTCAACTCTGCACCATTACTTTAATTTTATTACGTTTTACAAGATCACTAAATGAAAGAACACAAAAAAACCCAACCAACTTGATAGCGATCACATAACACACTGACAAATGTCCTCTTCTCAGCTTCAATACATGACATCAATAACCGAATCCTACTGTGATCTCATTGGCTCACAAGATGACACCTCATTGGCTCTCTAAACACTCATGCTCATTGGCTACAATCAGATGAAGGAAAGCTACCTGATATCAACCTAAACAAGTTGTGCTTCCTTTTTCTGGTTATTTGGCTATAACTTTTCATAGAATACAGATAATTGAACAAACTTTGTTGCATTACATTCTTGATTAAATTAGCTTTCCATTGATATACTGTATAATTTTATGGTACTACTCCCAAAAAAGGTGTTATTAGACATCAAACTTCAAATGTACACTTTTCCCAAAAGGTTTCCACAATTTTGGCCATTACTGTACAATAGGCAATCTTGCTCATAAGAAGCCCTATCCTAAAAATTAACTGTATGGAGATGAGTCAAGTTGTTTTCCATCCTTCTGAGCACTGCCTTTTAAAAGCCACTTTTGGAGTTTTCTGTTTGGTTTTGTTTGGTTCAAGGAAACAAGTCAATACAAATATGATTTGTGAACTCTCCTTCAAAGCTTGGAATGCTAACAGAGCCAAGAGTTGAAAAGAAGTCTGATCCCTGTATCTTTTATCCTTCCGTGATGAGACTTTATGTTTTTTAGAAAGTTGATTGCTTCCTGGCAGAGAACTGTGTTGACAAGACCCTAAAAGTGATGAAATCAGAGGTACTAAGCATTTAACAATGCCTTGCATTAAGAGATTAGCAAGTCGGTAGTGATTATGGAAGTCTAGCTGGCATCTTTCCAAAGGCTAAACTGCAGAAGCAAACTGAATACTCTATAATAGTCAAATAAGTCCAAGTAATTTGATCTTTTGGCTGCAGACTACATTGCAAGCTTTTTATTTTAAAGATCTCTGTTGTACAGAATCCTCAGGACATAGAGATTCTCTCTTCATGGATGCTTCACTCAGGAAACATATTATTTGACTTGCGCATAGACTGCTCCATAATGTATCAAGCTCTCCTTTATATCTCCTTCCACTCACCATCCCAATCTGAAAAAGCGTAATATTTCTAAATGTGCTTCCATGCCTCCAGACACTCTATAATCTTTCAACACATAGCGACAGAATGTGGGTCATGTAAATTTGCCAGAACCTCCTCTGATTTCCTTTTATGTTGTTACAGATACTCTTGATATATATATGTCAATTTATTTTTATTAAGATCTCACCCCTGCACATGCAGGGATATCCTTGACTAACAAGCAAACTCTTCCATTTTTGGATTTGACTGATTTTTTTTCATTATTCAATGATTTCTTTTATTGGTTCAAAAAATGTTGATAATTACATGATTCTAAATGCTACAAAATGAAAAACTATGCAGCTGGAACAGCAGCACTGGTATTGTAATACTATTTAGATATCCAGCAATATAATTATATGCAAGAAATAATCTGGATCTCTGTAGTTAACACAAAAAGTTGCCTCAGACCAAGTCAGGTCAGTTGATCTTTGATCACAAATCTGTGACCAGTGTATTTTCCAGGATCTCTTCTAAAGGAAGTTCCCATAATTTAGTAATTTTAATTAATAGATATGTGAGAGAATGAATTAATTTGTATCCCGCCATTATTATTTTTAAAATAGCTCAAGACAGCAAACATATCCAACACACCTTCCTCCTCCTATTTCTTTCCTCACAACAACAAACCTATGAAGTGGGTTGAACTAAGTGGTCTTGTGGGTCATTAAGTTGACAGAGTCCCAATTAAGGAGCATGGAGTGTCTCCAAGGGATGGGGGAGACCCTGGGTGATCCATAGAGACCATGCATCATTATCTCTCTACCCAGGAGCTGAAAATCCTACTGTCAAAATCTAAGCCCCTGAACAGAGAGACACACATGAATGGTCTGCACTAGGGCTCCCAGCCCCTCCCCCTCTGAGACACCCCTGCACTGTTTATCTTACCACACTGAGAACTGCTCCTTATAAGGGCAGAATATACCAGCTCACCTCTTCTTCAGGTTTCTGAAGGACAACCAAGACTTAGATGACCATAACTGAGCAGCGGAAATCTAGATAGCCATTAAAGAGAAACAATGAGCTGCAGAAACTTCTAATTTAACTTGCTGCCTTCCATACCATTCTACTCTAAGCAGGTAGTTCCTGCCCAATGGAAAGCATGCCCCATTTGGTCAATACCAATTTCCGCTTTATCCCCTATTCATAGGATTGCCTAAAGTTCTCATTAAGGAGCTATAGCACAAAAGCTCTGATTACCTTAGTAACTGCCATGATTCTAACAATAGAGGGCACAATATTCTATAAATTCCATAAATTTGTTTTAAGGAATAGCTTTTTCTCTTCTTTTCCCAAAATCTCCTGCTAATTTTTCAAAAGGATGCCAAAATCCTAGTACAAAAGCAATGCATACAAACTGAAGCAAATTTCTTCTTTTTATTATTATTACTGTTATTTATTTTGATTTATATTCATTCAATTTATGTAGCCACCCATCTCACTTTTATGTGATTCTAGATGGCTTACAATAAAATACATAAAATACACAATATAGTACAAAAAAGTGAAGATAAAACACATGGCTGCCAAGCATTATTCAACCAATTATCCACATAGCCAAGAGATGGGCTTTATCCCACATGCAGGGCCACAGGTTATTCCTCTGCATCTGATGCTCAGAATCAGTTAAAATGGCATCACTATGCACAAAAGAGAGATATTTAGGGGAAACCTCAAGCTTTGCAGAAGTACAAGAAGAATAAACAACAGCATACTAAAAGGGAGAGAGTACCAAAATAGATCAGAGACAGTTGAGCAAGCTTAGGGGCCACATAATTTTCACTGACAATTGTGGAGAGGAATCAAAAAACGGGTGATCAAGCAAGAAGGGAGCAAAAAGTCTGTAATCTTCAATAAAACATTTTGTACTACATTGTCATATAGGTTGATACAGATCTCATTTCTTGTTCTTTTTATGTTGCTATCTACTCTTTTCTTTCACAATGCCCTATAAACTATATATTTAAATGGACCTTGGGCCAAAGAGCTTCCAATCTAAACACTGGGGAATTCCTCAGTCAGAGCAAGTACTGAGGAATTCAAGAAACCCTATAAGATCAAAGAATTTTTCATTCAAACTTTTGTTGAATCTGAGGTCCAGTTGCTAAGCAAAAATCTTAGCCTACTAAAAAAATATATTCCTATGTAGTTGGGTATTTTTGTTGCCCATGTGCTTTTCACCTATTACTTATCGTTCCTTATTGTACTCTTCCTTTTGTAATTCATCTAAGTTAGGAAAACATAGGCTCAAGAGTATATTGAACTGGAAGCCAATTACAACAACCCAATCCATGCTTCCAGACAATTTGTTTAACTCTATTTTTAAAAGTCACATTCCTTGCTCAGAAAGAAAAAAGGCAGTTTGAAAAAATAACTAGTGCACTACAAAAAATTAAAATGTAATGTTGCTCCTTAAAAATCATATGCATTTCAACAGAAATTGTGAAATGCTTACATATGTATCTTCTCCAGATTGACGCTTAAGGTGCTGGGCTAGGAGTAGAGACTCAAGTTCAAGTCTACCCACAGTATGGAAGCTCACTTTGATCCAATCATTCTCTTTCAGCCAAACATACCTCACAAGGTTGTTATTGTGGAATATAAATAGGAGGATATGTACTCTGCCCTGAGATTCTGAATGAAAAGATATATACTAAATATATACTATGTTTATCTTTAATTCAGTAAGTTCCATTCAACTGAGAAGGACTGGATTAAGAAAATGCACTAGGACAAACCTAAACAAGCCATGTTATGACTTAATCTATTATGTGAATCTAGGCTTTGAAAAATTATGCATAAAAAATAAACAGAACATGCAAGTTCCAATAACCTTTGCATGCTGACCATTTATACCCAAAAAGTTCTTCCCCTTAAATTTTATATTAGATCTTGAAGTTATGATATTTATATCTGGTTTATAACTTCATTATATCAAGGTTTTTCTGAACAAAGTTTATTTAATAGACCATAATTACCTGAATAAGCAAAACCTACTCCCTGAAACTGAATAAATTTTATGGTTTAGCATGATTTGGGAACTCAGTCCTCATCTCTAAGTGTCAATTCTACACTTACTAAAAAGCTAGTGGTGTTTGCAGTAAGTGGGCAAGAAGCATCCATATGAAAGATTTCAAATTTAAGCTCATATCCTATTGCATATTGAGTATATCCTGTTGAATATTTAGTAAACAACATTTCCTTTAATCCAGTGTTTCTCAACCTTGACAATTTTAAGGCATGTGGACTTCAACTCCCAGAATTCCACAGCCAGCATTGCTGGCTGTGGAATTCTGGGAGTTGAAGTCCACATGCTTTAAAATTGTCAAGGTTGAGAAACACTGCTTTAATCCAAAGACTTGCCATTCAGAGTAGGTGATAGAGGACTGTTATGTCCCAATGGTCTAATATATGGCAGAACCATTAAATTTTGTGGCCACACAATCTAGGTTAAAACAAAAGTCATAATTCAACAAAATAAAAAAAAAGTTAGTCTTGTATCATTCCCATTATTGCTGGTAGAAGATATGGGTTCTTCTTAATTCTCAGGGTCAGTTTAATCCATTGCTAAGGACAAAAACATGGTTATTTATTAAACAAGTAGTATTGGGGAATATGAAGAGCCACCTACCTGAGAGAGAAGTTTGTTATCATCCTCTAGCAATTTGACTTTTGTTTCAAGTTGTCTGATGTAGTTGGAAGATGAATCTTTAAAAAAGAAGGGAGGGGAAGGGAGATTAATCTTCAGAAGAGATGGTACTTTTAAGTCAGGCAAGAGAGCTTCACTGCTAGACTTAGGATTTTCTCATGAAAAGAATGCCCGCAGGATCAGTGAAGGTGTTTCTCAGATTGAATTTAAAAACTAAAAAAAAAAAAAAAAAGGGGGGGGGAGGGAACTCAAGAACACACAGAACTGAAAAAAGCCTGCTGTAACCCAAAGTCTGCATTTACTACAGCAGAGTTGTGAGAAATAGTGAGGTTCAGTTCAGTAATTTGAAAACAGCAGCTGAAGATAAGATATACATACACTGCATACTTTGTGTAAAACAGTGTTTCTCAACCTTGACAATTTTAAGGCATGTGGACTTCAACTCCCAGAATTCCACAGCCAGCATTGCTGGCTGTGGAATTCTGGGAGTTGAAGTCCACATGCCTTAAAATTGTCAAGGTTGAGAAACACTGGTGTAAAACAATCTATAAAGAAAAGAGCAGAAAATGTTGGGGTATCAACATTCTGTGGGCACCCTCCTACTAAGAAGCCAAATAAACATGAGATACTGCGGTTCCAAAACACCTGCCTGTTGTTCTGTAGAAATGTTATTTATTTTGCACTTATTTTTTAAAAAGGCCAGTTCACAATATATTGGAGTGTGTTAATAACTCAATATGTTTAATCTTGGACCTATTTTTAATAGCTTTGAAAATTAAAGCTACTTGTTTATTAGATTTGTGTGCCGCCCATCTCATCTATATCTCTAGGAGATAAAAAGCTGCATAGAGCCAAAGGATGGGGGGGGGGCTTCTGGCTATATTTACATTGGAGGTGAGACCTTATTCAAGAAATTATTAGTTTGAAATGTTGACCAGTTGCATTATTAGCTTTACCAATTTCCATCACAATATCAGATGTAGCCATAGGTCCTAATCAGACTGCCAAATATACCATAATCAAAACTCTTTCATTCTCATGAACATGCTATTATGTGTCCTGACATCTTCTATACTTTTAAAACAATTATCATCAAACCATAGGAGTCTATATATCTCAGGTGCTAGAAAGTTGTTTTGTTATGAAGTCAGAATTACCCAGCTAGCCCAAGTGATATCCAAGTGTATTGGAGTTCAATTCCCATTACTAGGAAAAGATAGACATTGAATTTGAAGACATACACCAGTTGCCAGAGAGATCTATTTTCATATTGCTCTAACTCACTGAGGATTTTCACACTGAGCAGTGCCAGGAAAGACATTATGCTTCCTGAAACAGATTCCAAGCCACTCTCCACCCTCATAGTCTCCAATTAAACCTGACACTTTCAAAAGTGAGGGTGAAGATTCATTCTCCGAGCTTGAGGATTTGGTTTCCAAGCGTTTCATTACCAGGCTAACATCTTCAGCGGTGTTTACGGGATGTCTGTGCAGTATTCTACTTATATAAGGGCTTCATGTGTGGGAGTATCAAGTGAGGGTCTTGTGATGGGCCAGGTGGGAAGGTACTTCAGGTCAGGGTCATTGGAGGGTGTGAATTAATGGGTCAGGAGTGAGTCATCAGTGGGAGGCTGGTAATGGGTCTTGTGAGGTCAGGGTCATTCTGCTCAGCTCAAGAATGAACCTTCACCTTCATCCTACACTCGAGCTACAGATATTTTCCACTTTCAAAAATCTTATTACAATATTGAAATAACAATTCTGGTTTTAGATGACTGATTATGTTTCAATAAGTCATTGATTATTTCTTGTGACTACATTTCTGCCAGAAAGTCTATGCTCAACTTAGTCCTTCAAGTCTTCCAACAATGCACTCAACTACCTGCTTGACTGCTTCATCCTTTCCTTTTTTTTCCCATTCAACTGTGTCTGATTCTTGGAGTCTGCCTAGACAAGCTCCTGCAATTTTCTTGGAAAGGTTTTTGAAAAGTGGTTTGCCATGGCCTCCTTCCTAGGCTGAGAGAAAGTGACTGGCCCAAGGTCATCCAGCTGGCTTCAAACCGAAGCAGGGACTAGAACTCAAAGTCTCAGTTTTTAGCCCTTTTGCCTTAACCACCACACCAAACCGGCTCTCTTATTGTTACTGATTAATCCTAAAAGGCAGAAATTATCCATCATTTCATTTTCATTGCTGATTTTAAGGATGGTTGCTATATCTATTGTCATTAGTTTGATATTCTATATATTTAATCTTAATCCCATTTTCCCTGTGCTCCTGACTTTTATTACTCGAACTTGCAAATCATTGGCAATTTGAGTGATAGGAGTAATGTAGCTACAGTTATTGACATATGTTCCTCATTTCTAAATTGCTCACCTTCTTCCAATCTAGCTTTCCTCAAGATATATAGGTTGAATAAATAAGCGGAGAATATGTCTTATTTTACTCCTTTACCAACCTGGATCCAAACTCTTTTACCAATATTGTCTGTATTTTGACTTCCTGACTGGTATGCAAGTTTCAGTTGCGGACAATAATATTTTAGGATACCCATTTTTCTAAGCAGATTCAACAACTTGACTTAACTGATACAATTGAAGACCTTTCTATAATCAATTAGGTTAGTGTGTTTATTATATTGTTTGACTTTCTCAATTATCCAGCCTGCATCAGCAATAAGATTTGTGTTCCTCAGCCCTTCTAAGGCAAGCTTAAACATCTGGCATCTCCCCTTTCATGTAGGACTCTAATCTGCTTAGAATGATCCTAAGCATTATTTTGCTGACATATGCAATTAAGGATATTGTACAGTATTTTGTACAATTTGTGAATGCTCCTTTCTTGGTATTGGTATATAAATTGACCTCTTGCAGTCTTGTTGGGTATCTCATTCTCCGGATTTTCTGGCATAGCTTATTTAGAACTTGATTAGAACTTTTACTCATTTTCTTACATTACCTGCCTTGCTTCTGTAGATATTCCATTAATTCCTGCAACCTTCTGACTTGGTAATGTGCAGAGTAGAGTACTGATCTAACTTAATCTTCTAGTACTAGAGAATCTAGTTTAAGATGTAAAAGATATCTTTTAAGGTGTCTCATTGTTGGCATCTCTACTATATAAGAATTTCAGTATGCTCCTTCAATCTTTGTTTGGTCTTCTTTGAATCAATTACTGTCTGTCCAATGGCTTCCTTTAGCGTATCAGTTTGAAGTTGGAATCTCCTTCTGGATTCAGAGATCTTTTGGAAGACTGCTTGTTTTTCCTGTTCTATTTCCATCTTCAGTGTCATTACATTTGCTGTAATATTGTTTTTTACCTCTTTTAACAACTTTCTGATCATTTTAATTCTTATATTAAATTGATTCCAGATATTTTTTTTTGTGGAGGGGGGATAAATGTTGGGATTTTTTTTTCTTGGCAAGTTTCATAGTTTGTTCTAACACCCAGTTTGTTTTCTTTTATTTCTTCCCTTTTTCTTATTGAGTTTTTTTAATCCCCTCCTTGACAATTTCTTTGATTTATTCCACATTCTCTGGTTCCTAAACAATAAGATAGAAGACTTCAAAGTGATTCCTGATGTTCTTCTTGAAAATGATGAGTGCATGCTCAAGATCATATCATGGAAATTGGCTTTCTTCTTCCATTTTAACTTAATCTAGAACTTACACATGAAAAAATGTGTCATCTGTTTCACCATCATCCCTTTGCATTATAACTGAACTCTTTCACTTCCTTTTATCACTAATATAGTCAATTTGATTCCTATACTCTACTTGGTAATGTCCATGCACATGTACTCTACTTGGCAATGTCCATGCATATAAGCATCATTTTGGTAATTTAATAGAACATAAAATAAAACAGACTTGGAAGGGACCTTGGTGGTCTTCTAGTCCAACCAGACAAATGGTAGGAGCAGGAGACCCTATACCATTTCTTTTGGAAAGCTTCCAGTGATGGCGCACCCGCAGCTTCTGTAGGCAAACTATTCCATTGGTTGATTGCTCTCACCGTTAGGCAATTTCTCTCTTAGTTCTAGGTTGTTTCTCCCCTTGGATAGTTTGTATCCATTGTTTCTTGTGTTACCTTTTGGTGCTTTGGAAAATAGATTGCCCCTCTCATCTTTGTAGGAGTCCCTCAAATATTGGAACACTGCTATCATGTCTCCCCTAGTCCTTCTTTTAATTAGACTAAACATATCTAATTCCTATAACTGTTCTTCATATGTTTTCGCCTCCAGTACCCTAATTATTCTTATTGCTCTTCTCTGCACTCTTTCCAGAGTCTCGTAATGACTGTATTAAGCAATGGGAAAAAAAACCACCATTGTACTGGCTGAAATTGCTAAAGCAGTCTCCTGCTTCATTTCAGTTTCCTAGATGATACAATTACCTTTTTCTCCTTAATATTTCCAACTCTGGAATTCCAGTCTAACTACAAACAGCATATTCTGTCGATTTCAATCTGAATTTGAACATAAAATTCAATAACCTCCTCTTCTTCAATATCAGTCCTTAGAGCAGAAACCTAGATAATTGTCATATTATCCTGAATTCTAATTGATATTATTGTCATTAATTGCATTGTAGTCAAGTACAGTTCTTGTTATAGTCTTTCTAGCTATGAAGGCATTTTAGAACGTCTTTTGCTTTGTGTATAATTTGAAAGATTGCTTTTAGTATTGATTTTATTTTAATTCTGTCCTTATTTATTCTGAATGACTTTTGCTATGCTCATTAAATATCTATTTTATCAGAGAGTTTAACTATCTATAAGGTTAAAAAATAATAGCCATATTCACCATGAAAAATACATATCCCAAATCATCTTTTTAAAAAGTTATGCACACATTTTTAGGAAGAAAATGGAATATTTTCTATTTTTTTTTAATAGTGAAATCATTGTTTACTGGTAACTACAAGAACATTTTTCATTTGCATTTACAGATGTACCAAATATATTTCTAGCTGCCAATTAAGCAAAGAACAGCTCAGTAGTTCCAATAATGGGAACTAAAAGAGTTACACTCAATCAAACCACTGCCTTGAGACCTTAA